TGTGTGTGTGTGTGTGTGCACGCGCGCGCACGCACACACACATTTAACAGCAGAATTAACTCAATTTTTAGAAAAATTGTCGATCTTTAAACTGCTCAAACTTTATGAAAAAAATTGTACAACAATCTTCCTAGGCTTCTGTTAAAAATATAATTGCAAAAAAAATGTATAATTGTATAATTTTTTTGAAAAGCTGTTTTCTGTACATCAATTAATTTATCTCATTATTGTACACAAAAATATTAAGATATAGTAACAAAAAAAAAACATGAATATTTTATGAGATATATATTATTTATTTTATGTAAAAATATGCCAGAATAAAGTGTAAAACATTTTATAAACTATATTAACTTTTGATAACTTTAATATGCACAATAACAAGAGAAATCAATTTATTATGTAAAAAAATTACATATTCTATTAAAGAAAATAGCGATAGATTTTATATAAAAAATTGATTTTTTCAAAAATTAATTTTATTATTATATGTTTCTCTTAAAATTGTATAACTTTTATCTAAAACATATTTTTGTAAAAGGCATAGGAAAAAAAATATTTAGATGAGAACATTAAAATGACCCATCCTGTTCATTCATAGTTGTTAAATTGTTTTAACAATTAAAGGAAGCTTAAAATATAAAACTTACCAAAACATCGTTTAACCAATGTAATTTTCTTGCACTTATTCTTTTAAGTAATTCTTGTTTGCATAACAAAATTTCAGAGTTCTTTGTTAATTTAAATATACTTTCATATATTTTATATGCCGTGAGTAAAGTAGTAGCGCTTTCAAAACACGCACATGTTTTATTCCAAAGTGAAAGCCATTCACTTAATAATTTCTCATTGTTCCTAGAGTATAATGCAAGTTCAATATCTTTAATATAATATGATTTTGCAACTGTAGGACAAATTATTTCTAGAAATTTGATTTGTGTATCTGCATCTATATCTATTGTTGACAAAAGGTACAAAATCATTTGTAAAGAATTGTCGTGAGTAGTTGAATTAACTTCTGAAGAATCAGTCGTTGTATGTTTCAAATACCAACTTCTTCCGGCTGGAATGTGTTCTAGGCATGATTTCAAAGTAAAAAAATAAATATCTCGTAAATTGTTAGCAATATTGTGCGTGTTTGGAATTACAGATATTAATTTGTTTATAATCCAGCATATGATTTCTATATTGATGCATACGTTATCCTTCAGGAATGTAACAATTTGTTGGAATATAATACTCGAAGTATATTTTATACTACATTCAGCGCTTATTTCGTGAAGAAATATTAATATTTCCTGAAAAATGAAATTTTTGTTCTTAAAAATAAGTATATTTGATGTTTACAAAAGATTAATGTTGCTTAGAGAAATACCTTATGTAAACAATCCGGTACATTATCACACAGCTTTGTTGCATTTTTTATTTGTATACAATCAAATTGTGTTTGAACATTGCACTGTATATTGCAGTCGACATTGGACGACTTGCTGCCTACAAGCTTCCACAGCAATACGTAGGCAATCCACTGGTATTGCTCTTCATTTCGTGAATGTCTATAAATATGCATTGTAAGATAAAAACAAGTAGTAGCAATAATATATAGTTGATAGGTAATGCTTACTCACATCAAGCTTTCAATTACAGCTTCTAATTCTGTTAAATCGACACAGCAATTACGTTGGAATTCTTTTAAAAAATCGCTATCATTATTTAGATGAAAAATATTTAGAGATGTATACCATAATCGAGACGAAATGCATTTGTTCAATTCCAGTACTCTTGCTTGTTTCGACATTGCTTCCTTTAAAAGTGTTGTAAGTGACACATATATATTAACTTAATAATTCATTGTGATTTTCTGTTTTCTCAATCGTACCTTTCATTAACTGTACCTACATCAATCATCTGTGAAATCTGACAGTTTTATTATACCGCATACACAAAATGCAGAAAAGATCATAAACATCATAAAACATAATAAAACACGGCTCAATACGTCGTGAAAACAGAAAGCGTATCGGTTACATTTTTTTTTCAATATATCAACATAACCTATTTTCTGTTTATGTATATGTAATTGTAAATAAAGCTTTGAGTATACAGTACATGGAGATGGACTGACTTTGTTCTTCTTCTTTTACAATGGCTATCGCCCATGGATCTAAGAATCTATGGATGGAGCGCAAGGCAATTCGGTTGTTTAATCCGCGGTAAGGGGAGTGTAGTGCTGTCTCTTTCTCGGATAGGACCCTGTCTCTTATACACATCTCTGAGCGGGCTGGCAAGGCAG